AATTTATCCCATGGCTTCAAAATGACATATTTTTATTATTTGATTTTGGGTAATTTAATCATAGATATATCTTTCTATACATCTGCTGTGTTTATACTAAAAACCTTTATGCTATTTAATGGGCAGGTTAAATAAAAGGACTGTGCAGATTTAAACAAAGTAAATATCAGCTCTGCTCTAACATGTCATGTGATTTATGTCCTAAAAACAAACAAACAAACAAGTGAATTCATTCAAAAACTGTGCCTAGTTAGGTCGTGTTCCACGCCCTATTATTCCCTAGGACAAAGTTAAGACTCCAGGATATACAGCTAAATTATAATTGACAAAAATAAAGAGAAGAACACAACAGAATCAGTCAGCGAAAAAAAAGGCACATAAAATTTGGTGACTGTAGTGGAATCAGGTTATAACAGACTGGTTTTTTTTTTAGATAAATATATAATAGGCAAATCAATTAATAGTAATTAACAAAATAAGTAAGCAGTATACACACTGTAAAAGAGGAAATCAAAGTTAAAACAGTGTGGGGGTTATTATTACAAAGATTAAAGGAAAAGAGCTCCCCTTAGTGGGGGCAGATGGAATAAGAAATTAGAAGAAAAAAAAAACGTTTTTAGTTCTTCCTTTATGGTCACAGTTACGACGCAGTAGTTTTAAAAACCACATCGTCAGCATAGTATTGTCTTTATTTCACGCATGCAATGAATTTCCACGTGCTGTGTCTGAAATGCTGGCAGCACCTCTGGGAAACCTGGAAAAAATCTAGCTGCTATTTTCTGATTTTTTTAATTTCATGAAAACGTGACTTTCTGTAACAGTAGTCTGATAATCGTCTGTTTAGTTCCTAATTTCGGTTGTTTGTATTTAAATAGCTAAAGAACAAAGTATGTTTTTACATATTTTTAAATGCATTTCTTTATTCTTTGCTCTCCCTGTTTTAGTTTACATTTATTTTCACTGCTTGCAGATTATATGCATTTGTCTTTACATGAAGCTACAACGCATGTAGGAAAATGCAACTTGTGTCTGAAAGTCCACATTGCATGCTGTGTCGCCACTCTGAGGCCGAGAACAGCAACTGCTGCTTCGAATCTGTCTCAGTCCGCCGTGTCCAATATGGCAACCAGGTGGGGAATCTGCAGCGCCGGGAAGATCAGTCATGACTTCACCGTGGCCCTGAAAACTCTTCCACTTGAAGACCATCAGGTATTTCTTTTAGCGAACTACTGTTCACAAATCTACCCAGTGATCAAACATAAACCTTCTCCTTATCACTCAGCGTGGTTTCCTGTAGCCGTGCTGACTGCCGCTCAGTTTCTACTGATTAGAAGTGCTTTTGAAATCAGTTTCTTACAACATTCGATTGACGCGATGTTATATATTTGCAGTTTGTGTCTTTAACAAAGGCCGATACAAGTGACTCCGGCCGTGAACTTGCGAAAACTGCAAGTTACAGTTTGCAGTATGTTGCGTTACATGTATGC